TTCTCACTCGGAAATGTCAGAGACAAATAAGGAATTCTCAAAGCAGTTTGATTACTTTGGAATTTTCAAATCCGGAATTCTAAGTGGTAACCGGAAGTCTCGCTACAATTCGCTGAAGGCTAAGTCATCTGGATCGGAAGACTAGCGCGAATCACCTTCTCACTCGGAAGTCTAAGTATGACTTATCCAGGACTGTCTAGCTAAGAACCGGATGTCTCAAGGAAGACCGGAACTCTCAGAAACAGACAAGTGAGAAAAGACTTAGAAAATTCTCTTAAGTTATGAATGAAGAAATTCTACCCGTTGGTAAGGAAAAATCAATTTCTTGATTTTCAACGGTTAGATTGAGGATAATTAAGATGATTCAAGAACAAAAAACTTGATAAAGAGAGATTTCTAAACTCCTTATCCAGAAGAACACAGTGAACTAAAAATCAAAGCTATCTCATTCACAGTTGTTAGAATAAATGACCAATGCTAGAGGGGGGGTGAATAGCGTTTAATCGTAGAAATCGAAGGAATAAAAAATTTAAAAGAGAAGTAAAGAGAAGAGTAAGACGCACACCGAATTTACCCTGGTTCACCACAACTTGTGGCTAATCCAGCCTCCCGAGAGACTCTCTCGAGCTACACTACTATCTCGTTAAGCTTAACGGTGCTTAACAAACCCTTACAGCGTGAGAATTCGAGTCACACGAACCTCAACGTATCCTTCGAATGAAACAACCCTTCCTTCAAATCAAACAAGAGAAATACTTGCTCTCAACGTGTCTTAGAACACTAATGCACTCAAGAACGAGACTCTCTTTAAGATTAGATATTGGCTCTAGAAAGCTATGAAAAATGATATTGTTTGAATGCCATGATAGTATGAGAAATGTGAAGTGAATTGGTGTGTAAAGCAGACCCAAACACCCCTGTTTATAGTGCCAAAATAGGCTCCAACGGACCAATGCATTAAAGGGGTGATTGGCTTGATTTATGGGATTGATTAAAATGTGGATCTGCGGGATATTGGCTTCCCAGCGATGTATGGACTTACCTATCGCTGGTAAGCCAATTTTCCTTCAGTTTTGAAGCCAACGGTCACCTAGTCATCGATGGGTACAAGCTTCCCATCGCTGGGTGGGAGGTTGACTTCAAAACAAGGAAAGAATCAACCTTAAATGACTTCCAACGGTCATGCCTACCCATCGATGGTTTTGCCTTCCCATCGTTGGGTTCCCATCGATGGGGTAAAGTCCTCATCGCTGGGTAAGGTCGTTCTACCTTGTGTTGATGTTGGACCAAGGCTTTAACAGCGATGGGTAGACCTTCCCATCGCTATTTGGCATGGTTCTGGAACTTGGTTGGGCTAAAGGACCGCTTACCCATCGATGGGTAACTCTTCCCATCGTTGGGTGGATGGTTAGCCAAAAACCCATGGTTTTTGCCTGAACCATGGCCTAGCCAACCGATGCAAAAACTAACCGAAAAATCCAAAGTTCTCCAAAATAAAAACCAAGTGTTTAAAACACTTATTTGATGTATTTGGCTAAGAAATCAATTGAGACACTTTAAAAACCACGTCATTTGGGTAAAAACCACGGCTAGCCAAGTTTATGCCGTTTTGCGTGGTTTTTGCCAAACGACAAAAAACGAAAGGTGGTTTTCAAAGTTTTTTTGTTGGAGAACTGTTTAAACATGCCAAAAAGTATAAACCAATAATAAAATGTTGAAAACCACTTGGTTGGTTCGGACGCCAAAAACCAACGCCGAAAACCAAATGCCGAACGCCGGTTTCTGAAAGCCGAACGCCGGATGGCTTGGTTTTTGGTTTCGGCGAACACCAAGCGTTTTTAATGTTTTAAAAATGTTTGAAAAACTTTTTTATGATGTGTGAAATGCAATGAAAAATTTTTTTAGCCTAAAGAGCCAAGGTGTAAAAGTTGGGCCGGTCTTGATCACAATTGTGACCGACTCAACGACACTAAGACTAATGTTTTCGTTCTTGGTCTTCTTTTAGCTCTTGTTCTTATCTTTGTTATTCGACTTGTATATTCAATGTTTTGTCTTGATCACGGAGGTTTGGCATTATCAAAACCTGTCATAAAAACAAACACTGTTTTAGTACGAAGACGTGATAAACCCGTGTTTCAACAACAGTTAGCCAAAAAGCTTGATAAAGAGAGATTTCTAAACTCCTTATCCAGAAGCAAACTCCTCCTTCTTCCAAAGAGCTATAGTGTAAACACTTGAAGGTTTTCTTGCCTCAAGTACCACACCACGTTGAAGGATATAACTTTTAATCAAACATCTTGATTAAAACGGGGCACATAAACTTTTCTACAAGTTGATCTTGCAAGTCATATTGTTCGGACTTTGCAGTTGTTGAAGAAGCGTGACCTTCGAAGGAACAATAAAGTCAGCACGAGTGAAGTAGCAATATTAACCTGGCGAAGATATACCGTGCAAAAATTCACAAAGTGTAATTGTTGGTTCATTATTCAACAACCAACTACATAGTGGATTTTGAGGACGTAGAAGGATTACCCCACCTTCGAACCTCATTAAAGTTTGTGTGTCTCTCTCTCTTACCTTTACTTATATTTGCACTTACATTATTTGTGAAAACTAACTCATCCATATTGACTACTGCTCCAATAACCCACCAACTTCCGCACACAATCTAAGTTCACAAGAACTTTAGATTAACACTCATTTCACGTTTTCAAAAGAAACGAAAAAGTTTTAAATTTGTAACAAAGTCTATTCACCCCCCCCCCCCCCTCTAGACTTTGTATCTCACCACTTAGGGGACCACCAATTGGTATCAAAGCATACTTCTCACCATCTACTTTTTAGATTAAAGAGAAGCGATCAAAATGGTGAACAATATGGATCACGGTTTGCCCAAATTTTCTCTTCTAGGTTAACCGTATTCTATAATACTCTTAGAGCATGTTTTTTAGGGCTTGAATTCTTAACTTCCAGTTGTTTTCAGTTTCTTCCAGTTTTTTCCTGTTCCTTCCAGTTCTTTCCAGTTTTTTACAGTTCTTCCAATTCCTTCTAGTTTTTTCCAGTTCTTTCCTGTTTTTTTCAGTTTCTTCCAATTTCTTCCAACTATTTTTATTTTCTTCAAACTCTTTCTCCTTATCGACCAATTATTCAAAAAACGATATAGTATTATTATTATTACAACAACAACAACAACAACCCAGTTGGATCCCACTACAGTAGGGTCTGGGGAGGGTGTGTGTACGCAGACCTTGCCCCTACTTGGAAGCAGGGAGGCTGTTTCCAAGAGACCCCCAGCTCAACCTGCACAAAAAATATGATAGGGTATACAGTATAGCATGGATAAAACACCAAGTACAATGAAAAAAAGTTCTACAAGCATTTTCAAAATTTATGTTCATAACTATAATTTAAAAATTATTTCATTTTTTCATCTCACTATTTTTATGATTGACACTGATTATTATTTTTTCTTCAACTTTTTAATATGAATAATGCCATTTTTTGTATATTAATCTACAAGATAAAGTAGGAAAACATCAATAATTTAAACTATTTAAAAAAACTATGAATAAAATAGTAACATAAATTTTTTTAATCTAAATTTATATAAGTAAAACATCAATATTTTAATAATGGAATAGGGTGGGGAGTACTACATTATGAAAAACCAAGAAAGAACTACATCTTGAAAAAGAAAAAAACGATCCAAAAAGTTTAAAAAAACAAATTCAGATAACAAATAATATCCCCAATAATTAAAATACAACTAACAAAAAAGTTATACTTTCATTTATTTGATCTACTTTATATTATCTCTAATATGTAAAATATTGCACATATGAGTCTAAATAATCCAATCCTTTTCAACATAATCATATTGTAAAAATTATACTCCATATTTATTATCTTCAATTAAGTTTAACTGTTTAACTGCATTGTAGAATATTACCTACTATTTCATCTCAAACTACTTCATTGCATCTTTAGTTTGTTCATCAAATAACATCACCTTGGGTCTATCTTCCGTTGCTGCTGCCTCGGTAGAACTAAAACATAAAAAAATGTAAAAAAAATTCTATGTCTTTATTCCAAAAGTAGGGTTACAATGAAAAAAATCAATCATTAAAGAAAAAACAGGTTTGATTACATTATGTGACATGCGTGATATTTAAAACAAAATCTAGTAATATTTAAAGTATAATTACAAATATATTATTTTATGATAAATATTACATAAATAAAGTGACCTGCAGCGTAGCCACAATTACTTTCAAATATTTAACATTTTGATATTTATTCTAATTAATTTTTTTTTGCAAAACTAGTTTTTTGTGTATGAATTTTTTTTATCTTAAAGACATTCATTAAGATAACGTGACAACAACAACAAAAACAATAATGATGATAATAGTAATAACAATATTAATAATTTATAACAACAAGAATTAGAATGAGAATAATATAAAAATACACAAAAAAAAATTTTTAATTTTTTTTATATTTTCCATTTTTTTGTAGTTTTTTCCACTTTATTTAATATTTTCTACTTTATACTACTTTTTAAAAAATAAATTTTTTTATTTAAAATCTACATTTGACTGGGGGTAGCAGCCCCCCTAAACAAAGCATGGATCCGCGAGTGGTTATCAATGGCGCGCGCCATAGATGTGCCTTTGGCGATCTGCAGCGGAAATGCCACAAAGTGGGTAGTGGCGGTCGATTGACTCGTGGCAGCGCCAAATCTGAGCCATCGCCACGTCATCGCCATTCTTGCGTCATTTTTTTAAGATTTAACCCGACCCAAATCCAATAAATTAGGCCCAATAAAGAAATTAAACCTTTAATTAGTAGTCTCCAATTAGGCCCAATAAAGAAAGCTTCCCAATCGACGCGCAAAGTGAGGCCTCGATTCCCAATCGTCTTCTTCTTCTTCGTCTCGTCTTCTTCTTCGTCTGGTCGCGACTCCACTTGCGTCTCACCAAAGCAGATTCACGACAGGGGAAATATCGGGTAATTGACTCTAGTACTTCCTTTTTTTTAACCCATCAGTATACTTTTTTTTACTTTTTTGAAAGCTTTTCTTCCTTTTTCTAGTTTTAAGTCATGCGTAGTACATTACATATCTTGGCCCATCGCCATGAATGTCGCCATGCGCCATGACAACTATGGTACGGATCATAGCATATTAACTTTGTCTGATGCCCTCACATTACATATCTTAGGTGAAACGTTTCTGCATTGTCAAGCCAAAGGTTTAACCATCTTTTGGGTGTTCCATTAGTTTTATGTAACCTTGTAATAATAATTTACTCGAATCTAATGCATAAACTTTTTTATTTACTTGATTACATTTTTTGAGGAATGAATGTATTAATCAGTATGAATAATGGCGAGTACAAAGTCTGAGGAGGGGGGGGGGGGGNGTTCAGAGGGAGCAAAGATTTACAATCAGTAAGAATATGGGAAATAGGAGAGATATCATCAACGTATGGTTGTTGGAGGGCTTCAATGACTTTAAGAAAGTCAGATTCGACTATGATCTTGGGCCAAGAGGTGTCTTTGATCCAACTAAGTGCTTCCTTAATAGCCAAAGCCTCTGCTGCCTTAGAGGAGTGGTAGGGCAGAAGGATGGGGTTTTTGGCAGCACAAAAAGATCCATAGTGGTTGTATACGATCCAACCAACTTTAGTGCAGTTGCCAGGGAGGCACACTGAAGCATCGTGTTAAGTTTTACCCAGTCCATAGGAGGTTTTGTACATAAGTGGGGGCCGGAGGTTGGGCCAGGGCTGTTATTTGTTGCTTTCTGCCACTCAGAGAATTGATACCAAGCTGCTTGCCAAGAGGATGAGGCCGTTGGGGATTGATGATGCCATAATGAATCATTTCGTGCTTTCCAGATTGCTGCCAGGATGAAGGAGAGTGAGGTGTCACTGCTGTTGAACAATGAAAGATTACGGGAGAACCAATCCGAGAAAGAGGTGCTGCTTGGGCAGAACCATCCTAAAGAAGATGAGTACCAAAAACCTTGTGCAAAGTTGCAGTCAATAAAGAGATGGTGAACTGATTCCAGTAGCAACTCATCGTGCAAAGATGCAGTCAATGAAGAGATGGTGAACTGATTCCAGTAGCAACTTACAATTCGGACTGAGAGGGTTCAGGGTTGACGTCCACATGCATGGCAAGAAGGCAATCGCAAGTTGGGAGGATATTGTTGATTGCATCTCCAGATCAGGTTCTTGACCCTAGGAAGACACTTGCCTGCCAAAAAATGTTTCCATTTGTCAGAGGGAAGGATGTCATTCCGGTGTTGGAGGGTTGCTTCCAAAGCTGCATCCAAGGCCGGCAAAAGCGCACGACAAGCATATTTGACCGAGTAGTTCCCCTTGGAAATCAGATGCCAATATGGAGAGTCAGGGACAGGCGATGCAGGAAGGTGAATCTGAAGAATAGCTTCAATGTCAACGTTGTTGAATATTGCCGAGAGTGCTGACAGATCCCAAGAGCCGCTTGAAATGAATGCTGTAACTCGAAAGTCATAGCCTTGATAACCTGTGGCCGGGAGAGGTTGGTTTGACCGGGGGAACCAAGGGTCATGCCAAAGTCGAACAAAGAACCACTGCCAATTCGTGATGAAGCAGGGAGACCTGTGCAATGGACAACCTAACAAAGAAGTGTTAGGAAAATACTTAGCTTTGATGATTTTGGTCACCAAAGCTTCGGGTTGTTGGAGGAATTTCCATGCCATTTTTTCGAGGAATGCTATGTTATAATGGTGTAGGTTGCGGAAACCTAGTCCTCCTTCAAGCTTGTGCGTGCAAAGATGGTCCCAATGCCACCAATGAATCCCTTTGTCATTAGATTTGCCTTTAGACCACTAAAAGGTAGAGAGGGTGCGGTGGAGGTCGTCAATAAAGGTTTTAGGGAGGAGGAAAAGTTGCATGACATAGGAGGGGACAGAGGATAAGACAGGTTTAACCATTGTTTCTTTACTGGTTCGAGACAGGAATCTATTTTTCCATGAGAGAACCTTGGAATTGAACTTCGCTTTGATGTTCGCAAAGATTTCTGACTTGTTGCGACTTGCGATCTATGAGGGATGGAAGTCCAAGATAGTTCCCAAGGTTGTCGACCTCATTGACATGGAGAGCAGAGCAAATGGAGTTGCGAACTGATGGGCTTGTATTAGGAGAGAAAAAGATGGCAAACTTGCTGAAGTTGATGATTTGTCCGGAGAAAGAGGCATAAGCATCAAGGACAGCTTGAATGTGCTGGGCTTCTTCTGGAGTAGCTTGGAAGTAAAGAATGCAATCATCAGCAAACATGAGGTGGGAGAAGGTTGGGTTTGTGGGTGCAATGCAAATACCATGAGTAAGGCCCCGATGAAGGTTGTGGTAGAGCATCTGGATAAGAGCTTCTGCACATATGATGAAGAGGAAGGGTGATAGGGGAGCACGGCGTGGGGTGACAGTGGTTACTGTTTTTCTGTCGTGCTGAATATGAAGGGTGGATGTAGAGATGCACAACATTATGAGGTGAATAAAGGGGTATTGGAAGCCCATTCTGGTCATTATTTCCTTCAAGAAACACCATTCTATTCGGTTAAATGTTTTGCTCACATTAGTTTTGAGGGAAGCAAAAACCTTCTTGCCACGACAACTACCCTTGAGCCAATATCCTTCAATCTTAAAAAATAACACACCGACAAAGATAATTAGCACAAAAAGAAGTCAAAGGACATGTTAAAATATTTAATTCTATGTTTTGAGTTATCAAATATCATCATCTAAGGTTATGCCACCATGACTGTTTTCTTCCATTGTGGTGTCATAGATAAGCAGAGAGATATGACCACAGTAATCATCAACATCTTCATCATCATTGGGAAAAAAATCAATCTCGATTTCCAAATCATCATCCACCAATCCCGTATTTGAAGCACCCCGTTGGCGATAGACAATCTCGGCATTTGATGTAGTTGCAAGTTCACTTGTGCAAGTTGTACCACTTCTCCTGCACAAGTCACGTCCCTCGAGATTGTTTGAAGCACCATTTGCCTCATCCACATGACTCTACAGAAGATCATCTCCCAAATGAACAACTTCCTCATTGGCATCTACCCATTCATTATTCCATTGAAAATCTTCTAATATCAAAGGGTTGAATTTATTCCCTTGTTCTCGACGGCGTTTGAAGCAATTGACAATCTTACGATTATATTTCACATACACCAAATCATTCGATCTTTGATGCTAAAAAAATAGTTAGTGTGAAAGTGTAATAATGAAATAATTTATAAACTATTATTAAATTTTGATTACTTACAAACGACAAAGTACTCAAGTTACGTTCACACCCAAACGAATTTCAGTTAAAAACAAAGACCAATTATTCTTCTAGAAAGTTTTAGAAGCTCTGGAGTGTATCCACCAAAGAATTCCACCAATCAATAGAAAAAAATTAATTAAAGCATAAAAAATATTATTAAAATCTATTTTACTTCCCAGTTCCCACAAGATTAATTAATTTAGAATACTTACGTGGGGACATGAGCGTTCGTTGCTTAATGGGTATACTCTTTGAAAGCCCTCTTCTTACTTCATCGTATTCACCACTTGCTGAATAATCTTCATTTGCAAACTGTCATCACCTATTGTCATTTTCTCTATGAGCTCATTAAACAAGACCTGAAGCCTAGATGCATATGTCTCATCTTTGTCTTTGAGCAAAAAATACTTGCCAGGTTTTAAAAAATATGCAGTTGCATATATTTTTTGCCCCATTTGATTCACCCATCGCTTCTCAATTATGTCTATCACTTTTTTTTCCAACATTGGTTTGTTGGAAAAGGGCTCATTAAGTTTTTCCTTAGCAACATCCATAGCTGCTATCACCTCTGTCATGGCCGGACGCTCATCTCCATCGACAATTCTCAACACGATTAAAAGAAGTTGTGATGCCCTTATACAATCCTCTACCACATCTCAGAACCTAGAGGAAAGTACAATGTCACATACCTTTTTTCCTGCCTTTGTGTTTGCTAGCTTAGATTTACTCCAATCTTCACTAATGAAGAGGCTTCTCAATGCATTATTGTGCTTGTACATACTCTGTAGAGTGAGGAAACTCGTGGCAATTCGTGTAACTCCAGGTCGAATAATTTCCTTCCCATTGGCTTTTTTCTCTCAATGCAGCATGAAGTCTTACATGTCTGTAAACAAACTTAGTCACACGTCTTGCATTTTCAAGCTTGCTCTTAAAATATGCCAACTTCCCAATGTCTTCCAACATGAGATCCAATCAGTGGGCTGCACAGGGTGTCTAAAAGAGCCTAGGAATACAAGATTCAAGTACTTTTCCATCGACTTTGTAATGGAAACTATTATCAGTTACTACTTGAACAACTTTGTCTTTTCCAATCTCTTCAATTTTTTCTTCCAATAAATTTGCTAACATATTTGCATCATTCACCTGAGTTGAAGCATCAACGGAGTAAGAAAAAAGTCCCTTCAGGACTCTTTGCCAGAAAATTTATTAAATGCTGACCTCTTGTATCCGTCCACCCATCTGACATAAGCGTGCAACCATTTTTCGACAAAACTTTTTCATGCTTCTTTTTCAACTTCATGGTCTCTTCTTTTGCTTTCTGAAGCAGTGGCACACGTAGCTCATGATACGATGGTGGTCTCAACCTAAGGTCCATATTGCCCAATTGATTCTATCATAATCTCAAAACTTTTAGAATTAGCAGCATTAAATGGTATCCCATTCTTAATGAAGAAATCATTAATATGCATATAGACCCGCTCTTTCTCTTCTTTACTTTTGACAGACCGTTCCATCGTTGTTTGAGTTTGGCACTTGGTATGTCTTTCCTCAACCACTTTTCAGGCGTCTTCCTTACCATGCAAGCAACTGATTGTAATTGTGGTTGAGTTAACTTAAGGGCAGCTTGCTTCCTTTTTGGCATTTGTACCTGAACTTTACCATGCAAGCAAGTGATTGTAATTGTGGTTGAGTAATAGAAGAATTTGAAGCTACAGAGAAACCCATAGGCCTATTATCCTTATTCATATCATCATCACCAACTTTATGATCATCTTCAACATCCAATGACATAGATTTTTTCCTCTTGTTCTTGTTCAAATACTAATGCATTTCTCTAGATATCTCTGTTGTTGTATTTGGACACTTTGTGACATCCCCAAATCCACTAGCAAATGACGTTTGATCCGTCCTATGCCACAATTGATTTGTTTGTGGCATTAAATACACTCCACAAGATTATTGTTGTTCATATTTGGCCAAATTCCATATTTCCATCTGGGGTCATTATAGCTGGCTTTTCGTTTGGGATCCTTGGATGGATCGTCGTAGTTGCGGATATTATTATCTCCCATTTGTTCTGAAATAAATATTAAATTAAGTTGATGAATATGACATTCCAACAACCGTGCAAAAATAAGAGCCCAGAACCCTTAAAATACTAAAATAAGAAAAAACTGAAAAATTTAAAGTATAGTATACTTTTATAGTTTAAAGAGCCAAATCAAAGAAAATTAAATCAAATTACGAGTATAGGATGATAGAGAGCGTGTGGAGATGTTGATGGAACTGCTATAAGATGTTGATGATGGAGCCAAGGAGAGTCGCGACCTGGGAAAGGTTGAATCTAGAATGTTGATACACTGGATTGCGTCGAGGGAGGCTATTTTTATTGGAAATTTTAAAAATTAATGAAATTTGGGTTGGGTCAGGTCAAATTGGGATGGGTGAAATTGGGTTAGGTCAATTTGGGCAGTTTTTCTTCACCGACTAGGCGTTGCCTAGGCGCGCCTAAGCGTCGCTTTACACGCCCTATCGCCTAGTCTGCCCTAGTCGCTAGTCAAAGAGCAAGTCGCTAATCCAAAACCGCCTGGACGACTAGTCGGCGACAAGGGGTCGGCGACTAGTCGTTGCCTAGGCAACGACTTGACAACACTGGTTCTGAATATCACGGTGCTTAATAAAAGCACTTTGGGAGGGCGAGATAATCGAAGGTAGGACGAGCTTGAGGTGGTTGGCTATTGCTTTCATTATAATCTTGTAAAGAACCTGACATAAAGCGATGGGACAGAGATTGGTCATGTATTCAGGAGCCTTCTTTTTTAGGACTAGGATGATATCAGTGTCATTGAGGGCTCCGGGGAGGGAGCCATGGTTAAGGCACAAATAGGCCACTTCATCACTGATAATGGACCAATGTTTTTGTTACAATACAGGGTTGAGGCTATCAGGGCCTGAGGATTTATTGGGGTGCATCCTGAAGAGTGCATCTTTGATTTCAGCAGGTGAATATGGGTGAATGAGGAGGGTGTTCTGAGCTTGGGTGGTTTTTTTTGGAGAGAGGAAAGGTGGGAAAGGTTTGGAAGGGGAGTTGGAGTGGAAGATATTTACAAAGTATTGATGGATTACCTCTTCAGTACCATTTCCCCATGTGGTCCATTTGCCTTCGACATCTCTAAATTTATCGAGAAGATTCTTTTTGCGTCTGTCAGAAGCCACACGGTGAAAGAACTTGGTATTTTTATCATTGTCCTTTAGCCAATAAGATTTAGCTCTTTGCTTCCAGAGGATTTCATAGTGGCGAAGAAGGGATAGGATTCGAGAATTGAGTAGACGGGTCCGGCAGTGGCTTAGAGGATTGGTAGATTGGCAAAGTTGCTGGTGTTTGGTTTTGCATTCCTAAATTTTGAGGTTATATTGCTTGCAATTCAGTTCCCCATGCAAAGAGGATTGTTATATGAGCTTTTCCCTACAAAGAGAGCTTGTTGAATGTCCCAGATAAAGCAAGAGGGTTAGGGAAGCTGGCCAATCTTTTTGGCTTGATGGAAGATTGAATCAAAGCCCCCAAAGCAAAGCCATTGGAGAAGTGGGGGGGGGAGCTTTGGGAAGCATGTGTGGAGAGAAATTGCCAAGATTCTTGGCAGAGATGGCGTTCTGGTCTACCATAGAAGCCGGTAATGCGCCAAGCCCTAAGGAATGGGGGGGGAGATATCGGTGTGAATGTGGTAGTGAGAGGAGCTTTGAATTTTAGTAGTGAGAGGGGGTCCAGAGAAGAGCACGACCTCCTCTTCAACCGGTGGGGTCGATAGAGAAGGCATGGTCAAAATTAGTGGCTGCTTTGACCTCATGGATATTTTTCAATCATCTCCGATGGAGCCAAAAATTCACTATTGTTTGGCTGTGGGGTGTGATGGAATAAAGCAAAATGGATCTCTAAACTGTATGTGCTTCTTTAGTTAATGAAGTAGCAGTTAGTCAATCAATGCAACTTTCAACGTTGAGCTGAGGGTCTCTTTGGAATCAGCCTCTCTACTTTCGAGTAGGTGTAAGGTCTGCGCACACACACCCTCCCCAGACCCTACTCTTGTGGGATTCAACTGGGTTGTTGTTGTTGTTGTTTGACCTCATGGATACGGGGTGTTAGAGAACTCATAGAGAGAGAGATAATTTTTATTAAGTTATTTACTTGATTACGTTAATCTGTATGTCATATGAATAGCTTTTGTGGTTACATTTTCCACATTGAAAAAACAAAAGGCTTATACAATGCTCATACATGATTGTCATTAATTAATGGCATGGTTAGTTTCCATATACAATGTTTGCTTCTCATTTTTCTATCTTTCTTGGTTCTTTACCTGAGCTAATAAAATTGTTGTTATCAGTTTTTTCTGACTTCTGTTCCTTCGCTTCAATGGCTAGCAACTCTCAATTCCCTAGCATGCAGGTAACCCTCCCTAAAGTTCATTTTCTTCCAAAAAATGTTGCCTTTCCTTTTATTTATACTCTTGTCCCACTAAAATATTGGACGAGGGAGAGTAACACAAACCAATATAAAGTGGAATTATCTGATATTGAATATGTAGAGTATGGATTGTTTGAACTACATAAATAAATGCACATTTTGGGACGGACCAAATTGAAAGTGAGACAACATTGTGGAATGGAGGGAGTAATAGCTAATTAAATATTTGAATGGCTAATTTTTTACAAAGTAAAGATTAACCTCATTGTTAATTAATATAATTTCTTGAATACTTGTAGTTTTTTCTTCCAAAATTAGTTTTTTGTAGGCTAAGTGGCTCATTGAAGAATTTGTTGATGTATTTATAATCTTTTAACTATAATACCTTCATGGTCATTATTATAAGGCACAATTTTTGCTTTCCCACAAACTAAAAAATGATTAAAATCATTTGTTGTAATCTTCACTTCCATAATATGCTCTTGAATATTCCTTCGGGCCAAAAATTAACTTTTAAGCCAGACAAAGCTTTCTATAAAGGCAATTGAAAGAGAATTTCAGTGAAAGGCCAAAAGGAAATTGAGATGTCACTCAGGAGTTATTTTTTTGAAAAAAATGCTTTAATAATAGAGAAGTGACTTATATTTTGGTCTAGCACTATCTCCCTTTTAAAATAAACTGGAGTTAGTTGTATATTTGTATAGTCTTAGTATATTATCGTTAGTAGTATAACCTTCTAAGGCACTAATAACTTAATGTATTAATTGAATACTTGAATGCTCAACAATTACTTAATCTTAACATCTTAAGTTTCGCTTGCAGTTGTTGGGTTTGCATTAATTATAAGGAAACAAAAATTGTCTTTGATATTTTATTTATCAAATGATTGTAAGGTTAAGAGTTGTTTACCTAGGTGTGAAATTGTGTTTGTCAATTGCATTGATTGATTTTGAAATTTTTTATTTGTCCCGCACTTTGTTCTACATGCAAACAACAACATTACCCTAGTGTCTCAAAGGCTCCCGCCCGTTGCGGGGCAAGAGGGGTCGGATACCCCTATGTTTAAAACATAGGGTGTCTGTATTCAGATGATAATCTTTTCACACCAAAATAGGGATAAAAATCAAAAGTGATTGAGACACTTGTTTACTTATTTTCATTATCCTAGGACCAGAACCAATAACTGTTTACTTACTTTTGGTTATAACTCTGAGTTTTGTTTCCTTCTATAACCAACAAAATGTCCTCAGACTAAAATCTTAATGGAAGGAGTATTTGTTTAAACCTGCTGGTGTATAGCTTAAAAATTTGATAAACCTTTCAAATATTAGAAAAAACTATTGGGTTGTTAATCAAACTATTTTTATTTTCTTTATGTTTTTTCATTTTTATTCATTGGAGTTGTCACATTGCCTCAAGTAGTGCTTCAATGTAATACTCCCTATGTTATTCTCTACAGTTAAATAATGAATAAAACTACCGATCGTTCTTTCTGTACATCAGTACATCTGCTTTAGTGTCTGATCATTTATTAGCTGTAATTGGTTTATTCCTACCATTTTCTTATATTCTTATCGAAGTTATGGGCACACCGCACTAGTTTAGGTGCATTTGTGTCTATCCAGTTATTTACTTATTAGTTTATATTGAGTTACTTCTATAATTTTGTTGACATCGGAAAAGCCGCCTCGACTTCCTCTAGCTGGTCCTCCTCAAAGTGCTTATACACCCATGCCGGTGCCGGTATATTTTCTTACTCTTGATATACCTGAATATTATACATCCCATTTGTTTTTATTACTTTGTAGCTTTAATGAACTTATTTCATAATTTGCTGTTACGTGTACCAGCCACAGTTCAGACCACATATGGTTCCACCACAGCCATTCATCCCAGGACCTTCTCAACAATTTCAGCCTCTCGGGCATACAAATGTTATGATGCCTCCCCCTCCTTCACAAGTCCCGTTTCCTCAGCCAATGCAGCAGATGCATGGTAGATCTATTGCAGGAGCGCACAATGTTCCTTCACCACAGGCAATTCCACCACCACCTGATTTTGCAAACAGGCCCGTCACACCTGTTGCTCTTCAACCTCAACAAAACTTTCAAATGTCAAATAACTATATGCCTTGCCCCAATGGATCAAGTTTGCCAGTTTCTTCTTCGTTCAAGGTAAAAAAGTTTCCATCATTATATATCAAACCTTGTATCTAAGCCACCACATTTTTTGTACCCTAGTTTGTGACATATTCTTGTTTATATTTATATAGCTTCCATTGACTAACTTGTTGGAGAAGGATACACACATTAGACTCCTTAAGAAATGAAATAGAGAACTGGTAGAATAAGTATACATTGGATCCAAATTGCATACTCCCTATGTCCCAAAATAAACTTTAGGGTTTTAGGTTTATAAAAAGTGTTGGAGAATGAAAAGTCGGGTTAGAATTTGTTAAGAAGAAAGAGAAACAATGTGAGCCACACATTTCAATCCTTAATAAGAAAACAAAGAAGTGGAAGTTTGTTTTTGAAGTGTTAAAATTCCGGTGGGTCGAGAACAACAGGTGGAGTGTCGAGTAGAATTAACCACTTGCATATAAAATCAGGATCCACTTTCTAACTCAAAAGCTTAAGCTGATAGGTAGGGCTTCACTATTCTTTATATGCAAGTGGTGTTCTTTATTTTCAGATGTGGGAACTCCAACACTCCCACTCAAGTGGTAACTAGTGTGGTCTAGTTATCACTTGGACAAATGAGTCTAACATCTCAATCTCTTATAGCTAGCCCACACAACGGACAATAGCTTCTCAATCTCTTATAATCGACTAAACCCAAACCACGAACGAATCGCTCCCACGTCCAAACAACCAGGAAGAATCGAACTTCGACCGGACCTGCTCCGATACTATGTTAAAATTTTGGTGGGCCGGGAACAACAGGTGGAGTGTCAAGTAAAATTAACCACTTGCATATAAAGTCCGGATCCACTTTCTAACAAAAAAGCTTAAGATGATAGGTAGGGCTTCACCCTTCTACATATGCGAGTGGTGTTCTTCTTTATTTTCCGATGTGGGAACTCCAACAAGAACGATGGAAAAGTAGTCCGAAATTTATTTTGGGACAAGACAAGGCGAGGCGCCAATGTACCTTCTTCATATCGCCTAGGCGACGCTTAGGCGACCTATATATATAGGTATACATACGTACGTACATACATACATATCTATATATATGTGTGTGTGTGTATGTGTGTGTGTGTGTGTGTGTGTGTGTGTATATATATATATATATATATATATATCGCAAGTCACAAGTTTAAGTCAAATCTTTTTAAACATTTTAAATTAGGCTTTTAAAAAATTGGGCTACACTAAAAAAATTGGGCTTTTTAAAATTTTAAAAGGGCCCAAGGCGTCAAGGCTAGAGTAAGGCGACGCCTAGGCGAGAGCCTGAACGCCTTAAAGTTTTCTGGGCGAAGCAAACAGACTAGGCGTCCAAGAGATAGCGCCTTATCGCCTAGGCGACGCCTTACAACCTATGAATCAAATCATAAATCGGGTTTTAAGTTAGTGGATGCACAATGTACCCTTATTTAAAATAAAATTTGCACAACACAAAGGCTAAATTGAGTCCAAAGTTTGTAGTTGAAAACTAAATTAAGTAAACAGAAGTTGAGGAACATACTTTTAAGTAGTCTATAGTCTCGACACTGAATTGGATATTACCGCGTGTATATTGCAAATAAAATAATACTCCCTCTGTCCCATAAAAAAACTTCTCACTTTGGCTTTCACGGAGTTTAAGAAGTGTTGAAAAGTGAAAAAAGTGTGGTCTGAATTGGTTAAGAGGAGAGAAATCTTGATAACCACAATTCTTTACTTTAAAAGGGAAGGAGAGTTTTGTTGGGATGGATGAAAATGGAAAGTGAGAAGATTTTTATTGGACGGAGTGAGTACTTTGAAGTGGATTTTGGCAACAAATAAGTATGGAGTACTATTTCTATCTTAGAAGGTCGCAATATGTAAATACTTGCAGAGTCCAAAGTAGTCATTCCATTTACAGAGGGAAGGACTCATTATATGTGTTAGTATGTGTGTATCATGTATGTATGGGCAGGCGGTGAACCGAAGTACAGAGGCTTTTGTCTTGAAAGGAGAGAGACATTAGTTCTTTATGGTATATTGACTTGTAGTACGCATCAAAAGATTCCACCAAAATGCCAAAAATGAACAAAAATATGCACTTCCATTCTTACAAGATATCATAATCGAGAAAATGCCTTTAAAACACACCTGTAATCCCCATCAATCAATTAATTAGGCAGAATTCTGTACTCGTATCTCATCTCATTTGATAGATTAAACCCTCAGGCCTCTACAGATTACACTGCAGAACTAATTTCAATGTATAAGTAATGTACCTTGCTTGATGAAATGTTCACCTAGAGAAACCAAGGCACCATTTCCCTAAATATATTGCATCATGCAAGGACAAAAAAATATTTTGTTTATGCACACTATAGAGCAGTCAGCATACTTATTGTTTTAACTGTGTGTGTCTGTATAATCCGCATAGTTATATGGTAATCCTTTCAATCAATTACTTTAAAAAAATGTTTCCATTTTCTTTACCCATGTTCATTTGAGCCACTTTCACAGTTGATATATCCTTAAGCATCGCTTGTGTTTCCTTTTCCGTCTACTTAGCTCAGCTTGCTGTTTATGCTCCCTCTGCCCCGCAAATGTTTTCGCACTTTTCTAATTTTGTTCGTCCCAGTACAAACTTTCCACCTTTTCCATTTCCTTATAGTAGAATTTGTTGCCCACAACATATCTTTATGTTCTTAACAAGTTCTAACAATGCGCTCTTTACTTATTAACACTTTTTAAACTCTAGCAACTCAAAATGGGAAAACCCTTGTGTGAAGGACGGAGCATCATTTAGCATCTAAAGTTCCTCATTTTTTTTGGTCCCTGCCTTGTTTCACCTGCAGATGGATTCAGAGTCTTCTGGAAGTCTACACAAGGCACAAAAAAGCAATTCTATGTTTCCCGTTGGCGGACAGCCATGTGTGTTGCCTGGGAACCCTAGCAATAATTCTAAAAACATGCCCATGGAGCAGAGCAAAGAACCCTTGCTAAAAAGGGGAGAAGAAAGCAATACCGCTATTTTGGTGAGATTTTTCTTAAATAAGTAAATTAAATTATACTCTGTATAAATTTCATGCCACTGACTCCAGCATGGTTGGAATTAACGTGGTGCTCTATTAATTTTTTATTTCTAATTCTGATATTCTTGAAATACTTCTTTTACATATCAGGAAGCAAATCCTAGGCTTGGATCTGCTGATAAGATGGAGTCAAGTTGGATAGAACATACTGCCCGCACCGGCAAAAAGTGCGTAAATATCTGTTACTTAAAACCACTTAACCGCTTAGTGGAAAAAGAAGTTGGTATAAGATATTTGTTATCTTTCTATGTAAGATCTAGCTATCAGTTTAATAAAAATAAAAAGTTGCAATAATGATACTTCAATATAATGTTTGACTAATAATGCACTCTGAGTTTTTAATGACATCATCTTTGGAGCGGTTGTGAACGTAACTGTTCATTCAAGTGACAATCTTGGATGGGGCATCTGTTTCTTTTGCGGGTTCTGCTAGCCGCACTCCCATTAAAAAGCTAAACTCACTACATAATGTAACCTCACTCCAGTATTTTTTGATATTGCTCTGTGCACGCTTTTCCTATCTTTTAAAATGATTTTCAAAACAATTTTTACTTTTTCGATAAAGTTTTTATAGATATGTTAAAAATATACAACAATAAAATCATTAATTTTTGAATTCCATCAAAATCCCATAAAAAATTAATATGTTTATTGATACATATTTTTAATAGAGGAATGATAAAGTTACAACATATTTTATACACCAATTTTTACAACGTTTATATCTTTCAATCAGATAATTTTCAGTTGGTAAAGCATAGTTATTACTCCTTCCGCCCTTGAAGGATCTTACGTTAGCATTCAAAAGATGTTACATTTACTATTCACACAATCACACTATATCTTATTTCATTTTATATGTTTGATACTTTGTTAAATAAAATAATCAAGCCACCTCTAGTTCTATAGAACGTTTATGTAGTTTTTAAAAATATTGATTTTTTTTATTTTAGCCCAATTTCGCAAGAAATTAAACTAAAAATAACTTATTCAAACATCGTAAAGTGCAATGTTAAGGACTGAGGGATTTCAACAACCCAGCAGAATCCCAACTCCATTGTGGTTTGTGGCGTTAAGATGTACACACTCGTACCCCTGTAAAACTAGAGAGGTTGTTTTGGTTAGGCCCTAGATGCATTGCTACATATACTGTCCAAAACTTAATATTCCCTCCGTCCCATCAATTTCTTTACAATACAGTTTACGGTGTGTGACTAATGTTATTTTCAAATCCTTTTTTATAAAATTTATTATAAAATTAAACAATATAATTTATATATTTTAGAACTACGTCAAATGATCTACAAAATAAGTGCTGACATGAGTACATTGTTTATCACATGATAGATGAAAATATATAAAGAAAGAAGAAATACACTGACAGCATGGATAGAAACAATAAAGAATCTAGTGGGACAGAGGGAGTAGAAAGCAAGATGCAAGAGAAGCTTAATGTCCCATTTTGATTTTATCCATTATGCACCAGAAACTAAAACATTGTCAATAATGACTCTTTTAGCTCAAAATGGACAGAGGGAGTATCACTGTTAAGTTAAAAAAAATCAATGAACATTCCTTTGAAAATTTTTAAACATATCTTATTTTAAAAAAATTAATAGAAGGTTATTTTTAACTCCATGTAAGTTCCACAAATGGATATGAAGACCAATATCCAAAAATGTTGGAGTGAGATTAGTTGGTAGTGAGTTTATCCCTGTGGTGGAGTGTGGCTAGCACAATCCTTATTTTGCTTCCTGTTATAAGTATTATCAGCTTGTAGGTCAATACATTATATTGTGAACAAATTGTCTTCAAGCAGAATACATAACATGTTCAGATATTGCAACCCCCACATCTCTTTCAAGCATGTCATTCTATTAATTTACTGAAATGACTTATTTAAGCAACTTAAGCTTTGATGTATGCAGATATTATTACAACTTGAGGACAAAAGTATCTAGCTGGGAGAAACCTTTGGAGTTGATGACTGCAATTGAGGCATGCATTTCCTTTCTTTCTCATGTGAATGTATGATTATCCTTGAGGGAAGTGAGCTGGTTGAGGATTTGGGGAAACACCAATTTTAGGAGTTATCATTGTGTAGAGTCGCCCTTTCTTGCCTGTTGCTCCCTGTTTTTGCAGTAACAGCCCTTCTATCACAAATGAGAAGGATAAGCCTTGTTGAATTATTTGTTTACATAACAGCAAACTCACTAGTGAGGTAGTAGGTTTAATTTCTGCACTTTGAGGTGCTGTTTTTTTTGTACGGTGAGAAGGGTTGATGAAATGGTGATGTGGCTTGAGGATGAGGTAGACCTAAGAAAACTTGGCACAAAGTGGTCAAGGGAGACCTTCGCATGAATGATCTCGCTGTAGATACCAACATGATAGGGCGCAATGGCATCATTTGATCTATGTAGCCGACCCCACGTACTCGGATAAGGCATTGTTGTTGTTGTATTTTTATTTTTGTACCAGGCTTTGATCATCTTACTTTCATGTTTACATAGGTTTATGTCACACTTCCCCCCTTTTTGTCTCCACCCTACTACCCTAGAGATGGTACTTGTAGTGTTGTTTCTGCATGTTTTGGACAAAAGTATTCATATTCTTTGTCGGCATGCATATCTGAAGTTCCCTCTCTTGTTTGAATTTATTTTGTCATATTTGTATTTGGTTACCCGCTTTGATTTTTTTCTCATTAATCTGTTGGAATAAAGCCGAGAATTTTTTCTGGCTGGCTGTTGTTAATGCAGTAGCCATTGGAATAATGAAACTAGAGTTTCTGGCGTTCAAACATTGTTTATTTTTCCATGGCAACTGAGTACCTGCACCATAATCTGTTATTTATGTGTTCTTTGTTAATTTTGAACAAGTGACCAGTTTCTTGACTTTCTTCTTTGTACTCTTGCGGCTTCGTTTTTTATTTTCATTTTCTGCAGAAGGCTGATGCTTCCACCAACTGGAGAGAATGTACAAGCCCTGATGGGAATAAGTGTGTAAAAATTTTTTTCCTCTGAAAATCTGCTCTTAGAGGCCTTTTCATGTGTACTATACTATTACATATATGTACATATATGCTTCTAAAGGTATTGGCTTGAATATTCTGGTAGGTACTATTACAACAAGATTACCAAGGTGTCCAAATGGGCAATACCTGATGAATTGAAGGTCCTCTGATCAGATAAAAACTAACATTTGATCCTATGTTTCCTTATCTATCTTAAGGTAAGAGCTATTAATCTTCTTTTTTATCAGTTGGTTCGCGAGATGGTCAAATTGGAGCCAATCAAGGTGTTAGAACAAGAAAACAGTGGTGTCTCTCATACCCTTGATAAAACATTGCTTTGTAGTGCCAAAGCATCTCCTAGCGCAGCTTGTTTATCAGCCTTACCTCAAGAAGCTGGAGCAAGCCCAATATCAGTGGCAATAGTAGTCACTAACGAACTGTTAAGCCTATCTGATAATGTATCTAAATCACCAACCGAGTCAGTTGGCATGCAAACTCCTTCCAAAACTGCTTCACCAGTTGTCAAGTCAGATGGACATGGAGTGTCTACCACCCCAGCTGACCCTATCACAACTCAAATGTATTTGCAATTTTCAAAATTTTAAGTCATAAGAGTAAGTTTTGCTGCCAACGAGAATTTTTTTCACTGTCACCATAAAATTTTGCAGGGTTTCTGAGATTTCTTCAGTTCATGATGCTGCAGCTGATACAGATAGAGGTTCTCCAGGAAAGACACAGGTTTTTTGAAGTCTTATATACTGGACACATCATTAGTGATACAGTTATGAGTTATGTCTTTATGTTCAAACAATAGTGTTATGGCTTGTTTTCCTTCGCTTTATTTTTTCACATATTTTAGGAAGTTGAGAAAAGTGCTGGAGTTTCTGAAAAGGGAAGTGTTGCTTCGTCAGATGAGAAATTGACTGAGCCATCACCCTTAGTTTACCCTAGCAAACTGGTGGGTTCTTTTTTATTTCCTCTTGGTATTGTATCTGTCTCTGTTCAATCTTAATCTAGATGATCTTATTGAGTAGCATCAACTCCTTTTTTTTCTTAGTGTCATTTCCTGTCTGAGTAAAGTTAAGAAAGACTAATAAATTCCTCCGGTTTCTACGTAAATTTAGAGAAAACCTTAGACGTTCACAACCCGGACTGACCTTGACCCTCGTCCAATTAAAGTAAACACTGATTAACAACAACTAGGTAGAACTAATCGAATAAATATACACGTACTTTTAACAATCAGGTACTCTCGTTATTAATTACTATCTTCTATTGGGGCTCTGAAAACACTTTCTGAGCGAAAACAGGCTTTTAATGAGGTAAATCTCCATGTGAGAGGATGATCTGTTGGTGTGGTTCCTTATGAATGTTTATCTTTCCTCTTTCTGCATACATGTCAATGAATCTTATATTCTACCTTCTAGTACGTGGAACAAAAGAAAACACATGAAGCAGAGGAGAAGCGTGCCAGACAGAAAAAAGGGAAAGAAGATTTCAAAATAATGTTAGAGGTTGTACTTTTACGATTCCATACGGGAAAAGTTTTTAACTTTCATTCATCTAAAGACCTGTAAGCGTTATAGTTGTATTAATCCTTCTTCATTTTTAATTGCTGCAGGAGTGCAAAGAGCTAACATCTTCCACTAGATGGAGGTCTGCTGTTGTACTGTACTGTGTAATATTTGTTGTTATTCTTGGCTGATTAAAAATTTAGACTTGTTTTTGTTCAGTGTTCTTAAATAGAAGCCTAATCTCTAAATATTGCTGGCAGTCTTATATGTTAATGTTCTCAACATATCCATTCAAGTAATCCACCCCCCCCCCAACAACAAGTACTAGAAATCCCAGTTTATTCATAATCTCCTTGGGGTTTGGGCGAATCAAGATACAACCTTACCCATGTAAAACACAGAGAGGTTGTTTCCGTTGGAACCTGGATGCATGCTGCATTTACTACCCAAAACTTGATAGTCACTGCCATGGTCTTTTAATTACGTTACCATGTCTTGTTGGTTCTTCAGTAAGGCAATATATATCTTTGAAAACGACGAACGCTATAAAGCTGTTGAACGTCCAAAGGATCGTGAGGATCTTTTTCAAGATTACATACAAGAACTTGACAAAAAGGTGAACTTCTTATCACTGGGAAAAAGACAAAAGTATCTGTGTGTTGATTAGATTCTTTAGTTGTCATTGTAGCAACCTTTCTCAATTTGTGTCGATAAACTGACCTTACTCAGAATGGGTCTAGTTGGGCCATGCTCTTTTAATGTTTATGAATCTGAGATGATGTGCTGTTTTAAGGTTATTTGTGGTAGGAACATGCTATTATCTCTTAGTAGTCTCATTGATTCTTGATCAGGAAAGGGCAAAGGCGTTGGAAGCGAACAAGCAAAATCGAATTGAATACTTGGAATTTTTAAAATCCTGTGACTTCATTAAGGTACTGTGTCAGTTGAATATAATGCTTTTGATTGTGATTTTAAAGAATACAGTGAACTCATTGCCCATCTTAATTCTTCAGGCAAGCAGCCAATGGCGGAAGGTCCAAGATCGCATAGAAGCTGACGAAAGGTGCTTGTGCCTGGAGAAAATTGACCGCTTGGAAATTTTTCAGGTATCACAAGATGCTTTTCTAAGGAGCAATTATATCTTTCTATTCAAGATTTATTCATGCATAAAGTTAAATAGTAATTTAAATAACTTTGGCGTATGGTAGGAGTATATTCGTGACTTAGAAAGGGAAGAGGAGGAGCAGAGGAAATTACGCATGGTAACTTTTTACCTGGTTGTTCAGTTGAGAACTTTTATCACTCATACCATTTTTTGCCTTCTATTTATCTCACACCTAATAAACAGGAGGAATTGAGGAAAACAGAACGTAAAAATCGTGATGAATTTCGCAAGCTGATGGAAGAGCATGTTTCTGAAGGTGCTCTCACAGCTAGAACTCACTGGCGTGATTACTGCGTGAAGGTTGGTTGCTTTTCTTACTCTTAACTCGAATCTTAAGATCCTAGAGTAGTAGTGCAACAACAACCCAGTTTTGCCCCACGAGAGTAGGGTCTGGGGAGGGTGTGTGTACGCCGACCTTGCCCCTACTTGAAAGTAGAGAGGTTGTTTCCAAAGAGACCCTCGGCTCAAGCTGCAAAGATAAAAAAGATCGCAGGAGGTATATGAAGTAGAGAAACCGCAGATAAATCACAAAACACAAAGGCATAGAACAAAATGAGGAGAACGAAGCAAAAGAACTACAAGTAGAGAGCATCAAACATACACAGCATATAAAACACACAATAAGGGCCTGTTCTTTAGAGCTTGAACTCTTAACTTCTAGTTTCTTCCAGTTCTTTCCAGTTTCTTCCAGTTTTTTCCAGTTCCTTCCAGTTTTTTCCAGTTCCTTCCAGTTTCTTCCAATTTTTTCCAGTTTCTTCTAATTTCTTCCAACTATATTTATTTTCTTCAAATTCTTTCTACTTTCTCACAAATCACTCTAAAAAAATATTATTATTATTATTACAACTTTTTTTAATTACAACTTTTATGTTCATAACAGTTTCTTCCAGCTCTTCCAGTTCCTTCCAGTTTCTTCCAACATCCAACAGGCCCTAAGTACATAAGCTACAGCCTAGCATAAAACGCCTACCCAACCACTCTTATCCTAGCTCTCCAAATGCTCCTATCTAAAGCCATATCCTCTGTAAGGGCAAGAAATCCTAAGTCCTGTTTAACCACTCTTAAAAAAAGTCATAAATCATAATGATAATGGCCTTCTTAATTCTTGTTAATTGTTCAACTTTTAACTAAAGACTCAAATACCAAAGCCTATTCATCCGGTCACTTTCTCCAAAACTCAAACTAAAGGAAAATAAAGCCACAGACTGCAAACTGCAAAGGGATGCTTTACCAGGAGACATATACTCCCCCCA